CCATATCTCGGTCACCCGAGTCTCATGGGTGCGCCAGAAGCTTATAGGATAGGGAGAGTTAGGATGTGTCATGTCAAAAATAGTGTATTTGACTTAATAATATTTACTTCAATTATCAAGTTATAAGCATATCTATAGTAAATTAGTAATTATATATGATAAATTGAAAAACATCAGTACATTACTTAATTAAATGATTAATTAACTTATGGGCAACTTCAAAAACTTCATTTTCACTCTAGTAATTATAATATTATATAATATTTGTATTTTTGGATAATAAAGTTAACTAAAATTTAATTCCCAAAATTAATTCCACAACTATACTTTGATGTAAAATTTAATAATATATATATATTGTGATTGGACACAAATAATAATTTTTCAGGAGTGTATTTGTAAATTTTTTAAGGTTTATTTGTCATTTTTTAAATTAATAGGGGGTCATAGAAATTTTACAGGGTACCCAGGTAAGGAATCGGAACCTGCATTTCAAGTTCCTGTTCTAGGAACCTAAGAACCAAGTTTCGGTTCCAAATCTTTGGAACTGGTCGGTTTCGATTCCGGTTCCTCCAAAAAATGCAGGGTACCCAGAACCGCTCACCCCTAAATCATATACAATCGTTTCGTCTCATCGTTGATTCATTAGGATTACATAAACATCCGACGTGATTCTAATGCGATCAATCACATACCTCTTGTTGTCGCGATTTCTTGCATCAACACTTGTTATTTTTAGGTTCTATAAATATTTAATAAAACGACTTTATAATTCTTTTTATATTGTTAAATTCTTGAATAAAATTAATAAAATGCTTTATCCTTGTAATTGTGATTGTGAATTTTGAAATAATACTTCAATTTAACACTTATTGTTGTTTAATTATGTTGCAAAGAATTGTTCTGTATCCCAAAGTTCTTGGGAATTATCATTTGGTAACTTGTGTCTCGTTATTGCTTTTCAAATTTATATCCTTGGCATGCATCTTGAGAAGGAGTTTGATGTTCAATAGTACACATTATTAGTTAAAAGAAGATATTAAGTTTAAACTAAATGTGAAAAAAAGAAAAATAGGATTCGTTTATTGTAAACTCATGCTAAAATAAATAATTAGTAGTAAAACAATGACTGACTCGTTTATTGTATTACATTGATATAAATACCCACATTGTATATACTGGCGCTATGATTTTTTCTAATATTGTGAGTTGTTTCTCTTCTTTTAAAAAACTCTCACCTGGCATAACGGCAATATGTATTACATCTCCAAAGCGAGTCCAAGTTCTGTCGAGGAACTTGTAGATTGTTAAAAAAGTGTTGGAATTGTCAACTATTTCAGCATAATTGGGTTACGCAAACGCATTCGAGGGTCTTGCTGACTGGTCAGTGGGTGGGGACCTCGCTCCCTGGTGAGCGAGCGGGGGTCATAGGGGCAGCGCCCCCAAGCCCGTAGGCGGTTTGGGCCTTTTCCATGTATAACTGCTGTAGGATTTCTTTAAGTTATTAATTCCTTATTGGGTAATTCCTTATTGGGTTGGGCTTAGGAATAGGAATCCTTATAAAACCAGCTTTTGTCACTTAAACCTGTATATAAACATATTTTTCTCTTGTTATGAGTGTGATAGCAAATCATAGGGCAATTCATTCATTGTAAACGAGAGAGATGTGAGGAAATATTGCAATAATATTGACTAGGCTGGACGTAGCCCATATTGGGTGAACCAGGGTAAATCGCGCATGTTATTTTCTCTATGTTTATTATCTGTGATTTGCTTTATTGTTGTTTTGTTCTCGCTACTGTCTCTATTTCATTCATCTCTATTTCATTCAAAAAGACATTACCGCAACAAGAATAGGAATCCATAAAATCCCATCTTTGAAGACAATAAACATAATAGCACAAAACGCTACCATCATTGCTTCCACTGAGAAAAAAAGTAAGGTTAACCCCCAAGCCAAATCAAAAGAACACCCGCTGAAGGAAATCTACTTCTTCACATCGGGAAGAGATAATGGTTATGAGCATTAGTATGGAGAAATAGGACAATAGTAATGTTATAGTATCTGATATTGCAAAAACTATGAAGGAAGCTCTTCGGACAAAATGTGGAGTCCCTATTTCTTCATTAGTGCCACCTGGTATTGTGAAAGCTGCAGCAAAAACTAGTGGCAATAAGTATTGCCTCCATGATGTTTGCATTTGCAATGTCCTTAGTCCATTTCTCAGCTTCCTTTCTTAACTCTTTATGTTGTTCAGTGAATATAACTTTCCCTTGTTATTTTCAGCTTCAGCATCCATTGGATGCAAAATTCTCTTCACTCTCTACAATATTACGATATATCTGTCAATCAAGGGAAAGAAATATTATTTTTTCAAACGAAAGAGGGGATTTCATTAATATTCACCTTGAACCACCGCATCCGATAAACATTTTGAAATGTGTTGCAGTTAATTCAGCATTGGGTGTATCTTGTTCTGGCAACTTTGCAGCCAAATGCAAGATGGTGTTCCCTTTCTTATCTGTTTTCTTAACTACCAAATTTTTCAATAGACCTATGGTGTAAATAATTTTGAAAATGTTATAATGACGATACATAAAAGCATAATGAAATGTGGTGTAATTATTTTCGTCAACTTCAAACATCAGATAAGGATATTCGTGGAAAATTATGTCTAGAAAATGGATACCTCACATCTCAGGACGGTCTCAAAAATCGCCACCCATCCAAGTGGGGGATTCTTTCGAGAAGAGACCCTCGGAACCATCAAATTAAGCTGCGGCGCATAGACTGTTCTTATGCACTCCAAGTCCCCGATGGTAATCGAGGACTGTGGTTCTCTTTTAGCCTATGGACTGGAGACCGCGTGGGTTGGCCCAACTATATCAAAGCACAATTGGAAGAGCCTGTCATGTTGGGATCCGAGCTTCGTGCGATGATTTCCTCAGAGACCTCGGGGGTTGAATCCTCAATGATTGCCAAGCCCATGGGCAAATCGAACATCCGATCGATTGTATGACTGCTAGAAGAAGACATGGTTATAGCTCGCTTCAAGGTACATAAAATAGAAGCAAACATGTGCCAGAGCTCGAAAAACTCAACGACCAATCCACACTTGTTTTCAGTTCAGGCACTTAGAATAGCTCACATCACGCAACGAACGCACGCAACCTACCCAAGATTCTGGCAACCGTAGCAATAAACCTTTCCTAAACCCAAGATCGCTGGAGACGCACCCAAAAACCCTATTAAAACCTTAGAACATTCAATGTGGAGACGATAATGGCCATCATTTGACGCGAAAGTTAGAAAAACGGATAAAAAAAGGGAGAAGAAGCCTTACCGAAACAAGAGGAGTGCAAGAACTCGTCGGAAAGAGCATCGTGACAATGATGAAATAATAGTGGAATGCACAAGAATGCCAAAAAACTTTCATGATTTGAATGAATATTCTGACGACTTCACCAGCTTTTATAGTGGTTTGCATGGGAGACGAAAGGGCAGGGTTCAATTGTAGCTATTGATCTACGGTGAATCTCAACCCTTCATTCATTGGGCAATCTCAGCCCTTAGACGTGACCATGTGTCGACCATCCCCGAGGAGCGACAACCCGTCAAACTATTACACTAGTAACCATAGCTGCACGTTGCCTTGACTTTGCACGTGGACAGTTGTAGTTGCCCACGTGTGACGAAACGTGACTGACAAAGGCAGCTGCATTTAATGCGACATGACTACACAGAAATTACATAATTGCCCTAACTTTTCATATTCTGAATTTGTCAGGTATCGCGGGAAATGAAAATCCAAGTGTGAAATACGTTGACTAGGTATGAGGTTGACCCTTAGAGCTCGACCGAACTTGCATCCGGTGATCCACTGACGATGCTGAGCTTGATCTCAAATCAAGCATTAATCTTCGAAGCCCGAAATGAGCATCAAACACTATAGGGCAGATGTTATGTGTGATTTTCCCACCAAGCTTGGGCCACCACGAGGATGTAGCTGGACTCGGGATCAATCCGACTCTACTGGTTGTCTGACTCAGCATAAGCTCATCGACATATAGCTCGACCCAGCACAAGCTAGTCACAAACAACCCGAATGATCATTCAATCAATTTCCAGATAACTTCAGATCCTAGATATTGCGGGAATGACTAGATCAACATCAATCTCTGCACAATCACAACGCCCAATCACGAGAATATCATAATTGTAGTTCAGATCAATTGTAATTCCTTTATTTTCACTCTTTCCCTTGTATAAACCTTCTATATAAACCCCCTCAAATGATGAAAATGTGTTACAAAATTTTGATAGAATTCTTATTGTACGCTCTCACAGCAAATACAAGAATAGGGGACGTATGCTCAAGAGTTTACCTCACTGAACCACTTTAAAAATCACTTTGCCATTTGTTTTATTGCATTTATAATTCACCCATTACTGATTATCCGTAATCATGCACACATCAATTTTGATTCCGCCAAAGTCGATCAGATCACTCAAGTTGGTGCAGATTTCTTTATCAGCAATTTTTATATAAATTTTATTTCATTTGATTTAAAATGCCACTTTTATATCTAGTTATAGAATTAAAATTTTCATCAAAATATTCTATTGTATTTTTTTTTTTTTTTTTTCAAAAGGACTAATAAAGGTATATTATTAGTAGCATTCATCGCAAGAACAACCACTCTTATTTGTAAGATATAGTTCTAATCCTACCAAAATAATATTCTATTGGATAAATGGCCACAAAGATGAGTGTTAAACATTGGTTATAAGGAATTAACACTCATACTTTTTTACGAAATAAGTTCATGCTACAATGATTACTTCAGTTAAAAAAAGAAAAAAAAAAAAGACCGAAAATGATTATTTCATCTTGTAAATTCATGCTAAAATAAATAATTATTAGTAAAACAATGAGTGACTCGTTTATTGTATTACAACGATATAAATAAGTGAATAATGAAAGCTAAAACATAAATACTCATATTTTAAAAAATGCTGCTATGATTTTTTGTGATATTGTGAGTTGTTTCTCTTCTTTTAAAAAACTCTCACCAGGTATATGAGTAATATGCATTACATCTCCAAAGCGAGTCCAAATTTTGTCGAAGAACTTGTAGATAGTGAAAGAAGCCATTACCGTCACAAGAATAGGAATCCAAAATATCCCATCTTTGAAGACAATAAACATAGTTGCACAAAATGCTACCACCATTGCTTCTACTGAGAAAAGAAGTAAGGTTAATGCCCAAGCCAAATCAAAAGGCACCCGCCAAAGGAAATCTATTTCTTCACATCGGGAAGAGATAACGGTTATGAGCATTAGTATGGAGAAACAAGACAATAGTAATGCTATAGTATCTGATATTGCAAATACTATGAAGGAAGCTCTTCGAACAAAATGTGGAGTCCCTGTTTCTCCATTAGAGCCACCTGGTATTGTGAAAGCTGCAGCGAAAACCACGGTGGCAATAAGTATTGCCCCCATGATGTTTGCATTTGCAATGTCCTTGGTCCATTTCTCAGCTTCCTTTCTTAACTTTCTGTGTTGTTTAGTGAATATTGCTTTAGCAGTTTCCCCTTTTTTATTTTTAGCTTCAGCATCCACTGGATGCAAAATTCTCTTCACTCTCTACAATATTACGATTTATCAATCAATCAAGGGAAAGAAATATTATTTTTCAAAAGAAAGAAGGGCGTTAATTAATATTCACCTCGAACCACCGCATCTCGATAGACATTTTAAAAAGTGTTGCAGTTGATTCAGCACCGGGTGTATCTTGCTCTGGCAACTTTGCAGCCAAATGCAAGATGTTGTTCCCTTTCTTATCTGTTTTCTTAACTACCAAATTTTTCAACGGACCTATGGTGTAAATAATTTTGAAAATGTTATAGTGACGATACATAACAGCATAATGAAATATGGTGTAATTATTTTTGTCAACTTCAAACATCAGATCAGGATATTCGTGGAAAATTATGTTTAGAAACCGAAGGTTTCCTTGTTTTGCAGCCTCGAATATTAGTGACCAAGGTTTTCTAATAATTTTCAAAATCTGGGAGTCATCCAAACGCATAACTTCTTTCCAAAGGCATTCAACTAGTTCAAAAGCTGAATCGAGAATCTCTTCACCTCTAACTAAAACAGCAAAAGTTTAGTTAAGCCAACATTAGTTCTAAACAGAAAAGTTGAGGATCATGTAATTAATTATCACATAAACAATTATATTAGTTCTAAACTGATAAAAGAATAGAAGAAAGGTTACCCAAAAGACAACAAAAATAATTATATTTATACTATAATTCCTAAATAAAATCCAAACTTTTCATCCCAATGTCAGTTACTGCATCAACTTTTTATTTACATATCAAGAATTATTTATTTTATTAACTCTTTAATACAAGAAGTAGCCTTTGTTAACTAGAATTTGACTTTAGATTTTTAGTCTAAATTTTAAATTGCAAACGGGAATTTTCATTTTCACATATTATTAAGGGTGATTCTAGCAGTGCACCCCAAAAATATCTTAATTTTCACTATTTCAATATCGTATTTGATAAAATTAAATAAAAACCTCGTCATCACACCACGAACAAAGTTAAATAAATTAAGAAAGACAAACAATTAAACAAATACCCACAATTGACTTTCCATTTGGCCTTCTTAGTCCGATCAGTCCAGCACATCTTATTCCTTCTCTGTTGCTCCCTGTCATTTAGCCGATCCCTAAAGCTCATCGGCTCATTCTTCTTCCCCAACACTGAATTTATCACCTTTCTTTTCACTTCATTATCTGCTTTGAATCAACATGAAAGCACCTTTGTTCTTACATACAATTGCTTTTGATAATTTACATAATAATAATAATAATAATAATAATAATAAAGTTTTGTATAGGCAAAAGAGTATAGGTTTCTCATCTTACTAAATAATAATAATAAAATTTCATAAATTATGGCTTTAGAAGGACAAATTCAAAAAATGTTAAGTAAATAACAAATATTATCTTAACAACTAAAAAATTCAAACTAACCATTTCAATTAAAAAATTCTTTAAATATTAATTTAAATGTTATTATATAATTTTGTGATTAACACAAAGAAAAAAAAAACATTGATCAAGGCGAAGATGTTAATGATTAGAGAGAACTAACATAAGTAGATCGTTGATTTCCCGCAAAGTCTTACTCAAGCTCAAATCGACAGTAAGTCTCGGTACATGTAATCGTGCCAAGTGGTGCAATACTGTCTCCCCATGTTCACCATGTATATGAGCTGTTTGTGGGTGCCTCTCTACCAAATCCAACGCAACATTTATGAAAAACAACAATCAACATCATAAATAATATAAAGTGATTCTTTTGGTAATTAGATTTGCCTAATCATTTGTCTATTAGAGGTAAAATACAATGCTCTTTAGAAAATTGATCTTGAAGTATGACTTAGGTTTTTGAAAGTCATCCAAATAGCCCAAATATAAATAATAAAAACTTACCATACAAACCATGGGGTATCAGATCGACAACCAATTTGAAGCGATCATTATCATCTAATAACTCATCTCCAGTGGCTTCATAAAAGTATTCTACCATCTCTTTGTTTCCCATCACAGCTGCTTGGAGAAGTGGTAAAATGTAATTATCACCTCGGTTCTTTAAGACGTCTTCATTCTTCTCCATCATGTCTTTCTCACGGTTCTTTACCAAGTCTTCATTCTTCTCTTTCAAAGCTTTGACGATGTCAACCTCCCCGGATGAAACAGCAAGAAAAAAGGCCGTGTTGCCAGCATTATTTTTTATGGATAAGTCATCTTTGTTCATATGCTCAAGCAACTTTTTCACAAAACCAGTGCGCCTTGCTGCAGCTGCAATGTGTAGAGCTGTGTCTCCTTCCTTTGATAGCTTAGCTGTTATATTAATTTCATGTTTCATGTCAATTCCTTGAAATCTGTCCCAATCACCTTTCAGTGTAGCCCGGTACGGTTCGAAGCGTTTATTCCTCATTCCAATTTCTGTCAAGTTGAAAATATACTAAGTTTATGCTTAATATTTTGTTAAGGATACGCATGCTTCTTGACGTGCAGTAGTCTATTTGGGTGTAACTGTAACCCTGAATAACCTATCAAAATTATATTAGATTAATTCTAATGAAATACAAAGCTTCATTTACTTGAGAAAAAGAGGCCGCCGATACATAAATTTATCCAAGATAAAAATAATAATAATAATAAAGTAGATCTATTGTGGAAGATTAAATTTGTTTTTCCTTGAAATTCCCACATAGTTACATTGAGATCTAATTGTCCTTCGAAATATCCACATTACACTCTAAGGATTTAAATTAAAAGAAAAAAATTAGAGTTGGCAAAATTTTGAGATAAATCTTATGTTCATATATAGTAGTGTAGGATATTATTCCGATAAAAATAATGCATTTTAAAAATATAAAATAAAATAATAAACAATCTACAGGATACAGGATACAGGATACCATCAAATCTTACCGCCATGAGGAGGGGATGTGACAAGCTCAATCCCATTTTCATGTAGCAAATAGTTTTCCTCTATGTCAATCCTCTCTTCATGAGTAGACATTTTCCCAGTAAACCCTGCAAGGAGTTTAAAATATATTTAGATCTAAGTCTAATTTAAATTATAAGCCTACATATTTTCAGTTGAAAAGAGACTTTCAAATTACATTGAAGAAGTGGTTTTGAAAGCTTACCTCTTTTGGAGTATGGCTTGCTATGTATCTTCAGCTTTTAAAAGAAAAAATCGGATGAAAAGCCTAGATAGTTCAGCGAAAGACTGAGGTAACTAGCTTATATATATACACTTCCAAAGACAAGGTGATTATGTTTAAAAATTTTCTCTGGTGGCATGTATTGACCAATTACTCAACTGAAAATTGGTAGACATTTTTTAATATTGATTGTACAACTCATTTCAAGATATAACACAATTAAATATTATAAGATAGTAATTTAACTAATAATTGTGTTCAGTAATGTTCACATTGAATCAAAGGGCAACTTTTCACTGGATAATATTTAAATTTCTTGAAGGAGTTCTTTCAATGTTGGGATTTTAAAACCAATCCTTAACAGCCAGGTGTATGGTAGCAATATTAATTAAGAAAACTCATATTTACTAATGTTCAATTTTTTCTAATATGAATCAAAAATTTTCAATAAAATTTCTGTAGATAAATCCCTAGCTTAGCAAGAGAAACCAAATTTATAAAGTACTCTATAGAAACGATGTTACATGAAATTCAGAGAATTTAAATAGAATACCCAGTGACGGAGCCAATTAAGAAATAGGAAGGGAACAATTATTTGAGGGTTTTCAAAAAGATAGAAAAGACACCAGAATAAATATTTATTTATAGAGGTTAATATATAGATGGGTTTATGTATTATTATTTTGCTTGCATGATTCAAATGACCACTAAAGAAACAATAAATATAGACAACCATAATAATATATATATTTTTATTTCATTTAGCAAGGTAAAAAGAGACAACTCACTTCAGTATTGGCTAGAACAAATATATAGAATTAATATGTCGACTTTCCCAGCATGATGTTGTTGATTAATGATAAGATAAGTGTTGTTACATAGATTAAATTATAAGTTAATTAATATTAAAACATAGTATGAATTAATTATAGAACAATAAATCATGTGGAGTTTTTGTTACAAACGAGGATTCCGATCCCCCGATCCTTGGAAATTATCGAGATTTGAGTACTTATAAAAAAATTCCTTGAAGATCATCTAAAGATAATGTGAATTTCAGTTGGGAGAACGACCGTTTCCCTACCAAGGTTTGGAAAACAACACTTTTCCATCCTTTGATGTTCAAAATGACATTTTCCCACTCTTGTAAGGCTCTGTTATGTTTTGGTTAATATTTGATTAAAAAAACAAAAATATTCTTAAATATTTAACTTTATAAATTTTTTATTATTTTTTAATTAACCAAAAAGTCAAATAATAAAAAGTCAAAAAAGAAAAAATAGTTAACCCTAACTAAAAAATTAAGAGTAATGCTATAAAATTATTTAAAGTTAAATGATCTTAATATTTATTTATAATGTCATCAATATCTCACCACTATTATTCAATAATCTATTAAATTTATAATATTTTTCATAATATAATGTTTTTCATTTTTACTAATTAACATAGGAAATCAATATTTCTAAATAATTAAATAAACAAAAGGAAAAAATAGTATTTTTACATTCGAATTAATAAATAATCAAGTAAAGATTTTAACTTCACTAAAATTTAATTTATAATAAATTAATTAAGAATAAACTATTTAAGAGTATTTTTGTCTTTTTAATTAAATATTAACAGAAAACACTTACAACATCTAATGAAGGGATGGAAAATGATATTTTGAAACCTGAGGGATGGGAAAGTGTGCTTCGCCAAACCATAGGTGGCAAAATGTCGTTCTCCCATTTCAGTGTGATACAATTTAAAAGGTACGAGACAGTTGACTTGTCAAAATGCCATGTGCTTTACCATATATTGTCACATGGCATTCAACAACAAATAATTAATAAAATAAACAAGGATTAAATAATTAATAATTATAGTATAAAATAAGTGTTATTATATAAGATTATAAGTCGGTGTAAAGCACGTAGTATGAACTATTGAATGCCGTTTTGTCAGCTCTATTGACTTGTTTGCAAATGACAATTAGATAAGTAATCACATGGAGTTCTTGTCTTCTTTAAATATTATAGTAAACAATTTATGCTAATTCACAGTTTAAATTTATCGATATAAATAATGCATGTAACATGTATAATAATCTTTTATCAATAATACGATGAATCATACAATTAATTAATACACTGAACATCACCAATTTTACAAATACAAATTTGAATTTATGAATGGTGAGATGGATGTTATGTGCTTATTACATGGCAATTTCTTGTTCTCTCTCAATATATGTATTGACAGAGGCTCACGTCAGAGAGTTATATGTTACCCTAATGATCTTTTCAATCAATATGTTAAAAATTAAAACCTCAAGCTGGTCTTATATTTATAATAATTGTTTTAGAATTTGAGTCAACAATATCTTGTTCTTCGGTCACAGAACAAAGATGGCGGACCATTAGATTCTCTGTGGCCTAACATAAGGGGTTGCTTCCACTTTGCTTCAACTCGATGGCAACTTTTTGTTCTTGTTAACCTTTTTGATCCCAGAGAGCTGTGTTCCTCTCCATACTTCATCTTATTAACCTTTTTTAAGTTTGAAGCAACATCTTTATGTATTAGAAAGTACTTTAAATAGGCTAAATACAAATTTTTGAAAATTTATTTTTAATAATATTGTATACTACAAGGGATATTAAGGTAATATAGTAATTGATAAGATTTATTCACTGCCACTTTTAGTTATAGAATTAAAAAGTCAATCATAATATTCTATCGTATTTATTAAATTTTTTTTTTTAAGGAAAACCAAATAAAGGTAACATAGTAGAACCATTCATCATAAGATCAACAATCAATCTAATTAGTAAGACATGGTTCTAATAAGACAGAATATAAAGCACCACAATTGGGTAATTTATTTGTGATTTAATAAAACAATGAGTGACTCATTTGTTATATTACATTGATGTAAAATAAGTAAATAATGTGTCACCTGTTTTCATAGACATCATGCATCACTTCTCCATAGATAGTCCAAGTTGTACTCTCGTAGTTGACAATTGCGAAAATAGCCATTACCGTAACAAGAATAGGTGTCCATAGCAACCCTTCTTTGAAGACAATGAACATAGTTGCACAAAACGCTACAATCAATGCTTTTACGGACAATAGAAGCCAGTGTAATCCCAAAGCCAAACTATAACGCACCCCAAAAAGGAAATCTGCTTCTTCACATCGGGAAGAGATAACAGCTAAGAACACTATTATGGAGAAAGAGGACAATAGCAACGCTATAGTATCTGATATTGTAAAAACTATGAAGGAAGCTTTTTGAACAAAATGTGGAGTCCCTGTACTTTCATTGGTGCCACCTGGTAATGTGAAAAGTGCAGCGAAAACCACGGTGGCAATAAGTGTTGACCCCATAATGCATGCAGTTGCAATCTTCTTGGTATATTTATCAGCTTTATTCCTCAGCTCTTCATGCTGTTCAGTAAATAAAGCTCTAGGAGTTTTCCCATCTTTATTTTTAGCTTCAGCATACATTGGATGCGAAATTCTCTTCACTGCCTACAGTAGTTACAAAACATTTATCAATCAAGGCAAAAATATTTTTTTTTTTTCCAAACAAAGGACGGGGTTAAATTAACATTCACCTCGAACCAGCACTTGTCATCTTGCATTTGAATATGTAATGCAGACGATTCAATATCAGGTATATCTACTAGTGGAAACTTTGCAGCCAAATGCAAGATATTGTTCCCTTCTTTATCTGTGTCCTGAACTACCAAATCCTTAAATCAACCGATGTCATAAATGAAGTTGAAAATGTTAAGGCGACGATACATAACAGCAAAATGAAGTATGGTGTAATGATTTTCGTCAACTTCAAACATTAGATCAGGATATGTGCAGAAAATTATTTTTAGAAACCAAAGGTTTCCTTGTTTTGCAGCCTCGAATATTAGAGACCAAGGTTTTCTAAAAATTTCCAAAATTTGGGAGTCATCCAAAAGCATAACTTGTTTCCAAAGACGTTCGACTAGTTCAAAAGCTGAATCGGGAATCTCTTGACCGGTATTTGAAACAAGAAGTTTAGTTAAGCCAACATTAGTTTACGGAAAAATTGAGGATGAGGAAAATATTAGAGAAGTGATTAATTAATCCTAAACCCAAAAAAAGAAGAGAGGATTATGGCACATTTCAAATAAAAGATTATCCAAGAGTAATTAAATACCCATTTAATTAATATATAAGATAAAATAGGAACTTGATTTATCTTCTTAATGACGCACTAAAAATGCTCATAGACAATAATTAACTTTTGTTAACTGAAATTAACTCTATGTTTTACGTTACACATGAGAATTTTCATTTGTATCACAAATACCCACAAAGCAGTTGACAATCCGTCTCATTAATCCGATACACCCAGCCTCGCCTTAGCTTTCTATCATTCATCAGTTCATCCCTCTCATTCATTCGATCCCTCAAGCTCAGCTCATTCCTCTCCTTCACCCGCTGCCTCCCAAACATTGAAGGACATCTCTTTATCACGTCTCTTTTTACTTCATTATATACTCTAAAACAAAATGAAATTAAGCACCCTTTTTTCTTACAATTATATATTAATATTATGATTAAAAAACAAAAACTAATTAAAGCAATCTGAAAGTGCTAATAATTAGAGAAAACTAACACATGTAGATGGCTGAATCTTTGCAAAATCCAATGGAGTTAAAATCTAAAATACGTGTCAATACAGGCATTCGTGCCAAGAGATGCAATGCTGTCTCCTTATTTTTACCACGTGCAAGAGCTATCTGTGGATGCCTCTCCACCAAATCCAATGCAACATCTAGGAAAACAATGATCAGCATCATAAATTATATAATTAATATATGATTAATTGAGGGGTTGTTAAGTTGAATATGTATTAAGTTGTTTACCCCAAGGGCTTAACCGGGTGGTTTAAGTTGACCAACCATGTTCGATTCGTAGGATTAGAGTATGACTTAAGTTTTAATTAGCTAGCCCGAATATAAATATTAAAACTAAACTTACCATACAAACCATGGTTTATTAGATTGACGAGCAAGTGGAAGCGATCATTATTATCTAATAACTCATCTCCAGTGACTTCGTAAAGATATTCTACCATCTCTTTGTCTCCCTCTAGAGCTACCTTGTGAAGCGGTAACATATCATTGTCTCCTCTAATCTTTACTATGTCTTCATTCTTCTCCATCATAGCCTTGACAATTTCAATCCTTTTGGACGCAGCTGAAAGAAAAAAGGCCGTATTGCCAGCATTATTTTTACAGCCAAATCCTCTTTATTCATTTGTTCAAGCAGCTTTTTCACAAAACCAGTGCGCCTTGCTACAGCTGCAATATGGAGAGCGATGTCCCCATCCTTTGATAGCTTAACTTGTGTATCAATATTATCTTCCTTGTAGATTCTTTTAGCAGTGTTCCAATCGCCTTCCAATGCAGCCCAACACAATTTGAAGTGCCTATTTCTTTTTTCAATTTCTGTCAAGTTGAAAACTGAACAAGTTTATGCATAAAAATTTTGTTACACACAATAAAAGGGATGCTATAGCCTATAATCAACATAATAAAAAGACTTTTTTGAGAATCCGAAAGAATTTTGCAGTGGCCGCACTGATTCTTCTTTTATCGTGGAAGAGTCCACCAATACATTCACATTAAACTCTTATGAGATTTTGATATATAAAAAGTTTATTATGTTTACTTTCTAATTCCTCTTGATAAATTTATTGAATAGACCATTATAACCTATTAAAACAATTTTTTTTCTAAAATTAAGTAAACAAAAAAAAAAAAAAAAAAAGACATTTATGAATAAATTATTATCCATATATATATATTTGGAATTACAAAGGAAATAAAAAATGCAATAAGTGACACCAATATATGTAGGTGAAGATATCACATCAGGGACGTCCTATAAAATAAATAAAATGGTCACATGGTTTGTTATCTAAGTTTTAATGAATGTCTGCATTGTACTGTAAAATTCTATCTTGTGTGCTAATATGAATCTTCTATCTTTATGTCCTTAAAGAACAAAGAGCCCTAAAGTGACATCAATTTCCCCCAAAATTTGGACCAAAAAAAAAAATGGATATTCTTTGCCTTTGATTTATGACCTTGATAACAAAAAAAAAAAAAAAGTGTTTACTATTGAGAGATTCAATTTCACACTTAATCGTCTTAAGATGAGAAAGTCTTCAATACATTTTATTGTAATACAAAAATCTAATGATTATATATATATATATGTGTGTGTGTGTGTGTGTGTGTTATATATGTGTGTGTGTGTATAAATTACTTGGATGTTATATATAATCATTGGCTAATTGTATTGCAACATTATGTATATAAGGCTTTCTTATAATACAAAGTGAATCAAGAATAAGAGGAATTTGTAAAATTAATCATCAATAAAAATTTAATATCTATATTTAACCCTCAAACTTCATAAGCACTTCATAATTACATAAAAACAAGAGAGATTAATGGAAAAAAAATTAACGCCAACTTAGGAAGTGCATATCACATTTAACCTAAGACACACTAAAGGGTATTCAGCAAATGCATCTTACTGAAAAGGAAAAATGCAGCATTAATTGCAACGTCAAATCGTACCATCCATTTTTTGATAAGGTGGAGTAATCACAATCTCAACATTTTCTTCAATTGAGGTGCTTGCTGATGCAGCAGTAGCATAATCCTTCATGATTTATTTTCTTGTTTATTCGTGGTAAACCTACAATGAACTTTATAAGTATTAGATAACGAACTTTACCGCATAATATGAACCTTGTGTTCTAATTGGATTCAAATTGGGAATGAATATTAATTAGAATAATAGTCATTCATCTCAAGTACTCAAAGATCTTATATATATATATATACCATAGTAAGAAAAATCTTAGCTTCTATAGTAAATATATATGCACATGCAGCAAACTGAAAGAACAAAAATAATGAGTCTAACTTAAGACTCTACAAATCAAACAAGAAGAAGAAGAAGTGGGTTGAAAGACTTGCCTCTTTTGGCACCATGGATACAATCTGTAACTAGTTAAGTTTATATTTAAAAAAAAAGGCCTGAAGTGAAGAGTAAGAGAAGAATTTAGGGCTCAAATGCCCTGATGAAGAGTAAGAGAAGAATATAGGACTCAAATGGCCTGAAGTGAAGCGCAAGAGAAGAATATAGGGCTCAAATGGCCGGAAGTGAAGAGTAAGAGAAGAATATATGGCCCAAATGACCTCAAGTGAAGTTTAAGAGAAGAATATATGGCTCAAGGCCTCATAAAGTGAATGAGATGCCAAATGATGATAACATTTCCTAAGAAGAAAGCAGGGATTTCTGCAATTTGCGTCTTCCTAAAGGAGAAATATTATGTCTAATTAAATTCCCACGTGGGATATATTAAAGTTGTTCTATGTTTTTTACCAAACTACTTATCAAATTCTTTCAAGTTTTGTTTGAGAAATATTTCAAGTTGTTCTATTTTAGTTTTAGCATTTATATATAGGTGTCAAACATTGGTTTCAATGAAGCAAACTTAATATGAAGTTTATAAGTTGTTTACATGATCAGAGATTTTACGTGTGAGTGATTGGGCAATTAGATAAAGAGTTGGGATTTGTTTATCATGATTTGAAAAATTAAATGAATCTTTGTTCATTACTCAGCATTTCCAATACATAACGAAAAGCTTGTTTTGCAGTGAGCTAATAGAAGTGATGATTTAAACTAGAAAAAATACTAACATTTACAAGTGACTAATCATATCAGAAAGAAGGGGGAATTGGAGTAGAGGAAACAGGGTGACAGGAACACAAGCAACAATGGCCATCGGAATAGCTATCCATGCAAATTCATCACTTAGAACAATGAAAAGAGTAGCTCCAAATGCTGCCATCATGGTTGCTATAGAGATGAAGAGAGCTGCAAGCCCTATTATCAGCCTGTTTGGTAATGAATGCAGAAAATCTTCTTCCGCATAGCGCGAGGTGAGAATGGAGAGGAACATCAATATTGAAGTGGCAGAGCAAAATAGTGCCAATGCGTCCGATATGGCAAAAACCATAAATGACCACCGTGATGTAGAAAAACAGGCTTGCCTGTAAGATTGTTATTGCCACCTGGTACAGTGAAGGCTGCCGCAAAATCACGGTTGCAATAAGTGTTGCGACAACCATACATGAAGATGCAGTGTCTTTCATCCACTTTTCCCCTTCGTGAACAAGTCTTCTATGCTCCTCCGAGAACAAAATATGAGGTGTCCTCCCCTCGGAATTTTTGGTTTCTCTATAAGACGGTTGAACAACTTTTTCAACTTCCTGCCAGATCAAAAGGAACAGTTCATCAAGATTCAGACCCATAAAGGAAATAGTTAATTGGGTTCAGGTTTTGCTTCATTTACATGTTATTTCTAAACAAAGCTAATTACAGTGAAGTGCAAGTTTTATAGTTGAAAAGTAATTATTAACCTTGAACCAATGCAACTCTCATCTAAGTTGCAGAGCTGCACCAGAATCAATTTTGAGTCTATCTGGGTGGGCGAGCTTTCCAGCCAAATGCAACATGTTATTGTTATTTTCATCTTCATAAGCCGCTATCAAATCTTTATGAGCGCCAATCTCATGAATCAGATTAAAAATGTTTTCCTGACGATGCAACACTGCAATGTGAAATATGCTTCGACTGTGGTCATCTACTTTCCAAATAAGGTCAGGATACTTCCGAATCAACACTTTTATGAATTCAACATTCCCCAACTCTGCAGCAGTAAACAACAATCTTGAAGGTTTCCGAAGTAGTTCTCCAATTTTGTAGTCATCTAGCAACAACACTTGCTCCCACAGTTGCTTCACCAATTCTAGAGCTTGAAGATGCATCAACTTTTTTGTCAAGGGTTGCCCTGAAACGTGGAACTGAATGTGCAGGACACAGTCACCTCTTTGTCCAAAATCTTTTATTTTTTAGAAGGAATAAATAAGCAGATAATGATTAATGCGCAAGAGTAATGGCAGTGAGAAATGGCCAGTAATGGAGTTAGTAACAAGAGTAAATGCACCTCTGCCAAATTCCAAGCCGACTTCCACTTACAAATGCTGAAGGCTTCCGTGCCAATACATGAAGACCCGTCTCTCTTCTTCCATCTCGAGCAACAGCTAACTCAGGATGATGCTTAATTAAGTCCAATGCCACATCTGTCAAATTAACACAACACAATCATCAATTTGCTCCTCTAGAAGTTATAAAGTTGCAACATGAAAATAGCGTAGGTAAGAGGTGGGTACCATAGAGGTCTGCATTGATGACAGCAACAAGAAGCTCAACACGATCTTCTTCTTTTAGATACTCTTCCTCAGTCACAGAATAAAGATACCAGACCATTTCTCTGTGGCCCAACAAAGCAGCCATACACAACGGTGTTGCTCCCTTACTGCCTCGAATTGATGGCAACCTTCTGTTCTTATTAACCATCACTTCTGCAATCTTTTTGATTCCGGATATGGCAGCAAAACAGAGGGCTGTGTTCCCAACCTTGTTCGGCAGTGCCAGGTCTTCAGCTTTCATAATGTTCACAAGCTCTTGGACAAATATTGTATGTCTAGCTCCAGCAGCAATGTGAAGAGCTGTTTCCTGGTTTCTTGTGATGCTAGCACATACTGCTTGTGGATTCAAAATCAAAAACTCCCTTGCAAACTCCCAATCGCCTTTAAGCGCCGCATTATGCAGAGGAACAAAAGCAGTAAAGTAATTCCTTTGTACATCACCTGCAAAAAAGAAAAAAAAAGAAAAAAAACAGCAAGACTATGAGAGCCATGCTGGAGTATTTTTATTTCTCCATCATATAATTTACATAAGTATTAATTGGAGGAAATTGAATGAAATTTGCAACAGCATACCAGTCTCTGCTGCTCGTGTGTTTGGTTCCACAGAAATAGAGGGCATTTGATTGCTTGAATCTTGAAAGGGCCAAATTGATGGATCTAAAACGACATGGTCATCAAATCCTTTAGCTTCCAGAAAGTCTACTGGGCTTTTTACAGCTTGATGATGTGGTTGAAGATGAGAATGTTGAATATCAAGAGGCAAAATTGAAGGAAGATTCATGATGGCCATGATGAAATGTTGCTGGCCCAAAAGCATCTTTCAGGCTCAAGTCATCGTCAGACAATATGCCTAAGCTTGCATCATCTTCCCCAGAAGATTTGCAAGAGGAATTTGCAACAGATTTGATCTCAGGGAAACAAGATTGAATTGAAAGTCCCCTCCCATATTGTGATGAAGGAAGGTTGTTCAATATCATTATCTTCAATGAAAAGTACTGCCTGAGAACAAGCAAAATCAGTAGTACAACAAAAAGAACAAAAGAATGTAGTGCTTTATTAGGAGTTAGGACATCACTGTTTCTGGCTCTAAGCAGCTCAATCAGATAAAAGACTTTGAACCTCCAAGCAACTACAACCAAGAACAAGATGAATTATAAATCCAAACATGTAGTGCCGTAAAATGATTGGAATGTCAAAAGCAAAAGTTGAAGCAAAGAGTAAAGTTATTTTCTTGTGTTTGAAAACTGATGGTTGCGATCCTCTTCCACCAACTTCACTAACGCTGCCTCGTTTCCTTGTGGCTCTTAGTTATTAAAATCTTAAGGAACTGACTTGACCCACGTATGCAATTGGATTGATCAATGCCTTCACACTAAACTTTATTCATATAATTGAAAAATCTGACACCGGTGCCTTCTGAGAAAGTTCAAAGCGGGATACTAAGAGATGGGACCGCTTGGCTCTTGATTCTAGTTCTGCCGTTTGCATTGACTGGAAAAGTCTCTTAAGGGGATCTTTCCATGGTCCAACCCGTTGTAGGTATGTAATTCATTGACAATTAAAGTACATAAGATCTATTAAATCTAATGTTGAATGGTAAAGCACAAAACGATGTCGTTAAACATTAATAAAGCTCCAAGATTGATTATGATCGTTGATTGCTTAATAAATCTGACGGCCAAGGTTCTTCAACAATGCAAGTATAAAAGAATATCCTTCAGTCGAATTACACAGCCTTTACACACTCTGTTTTGGCGATTGAGTTCTTCTTTGTTAGGTTTTCTGATTTCTTGTTTCTCATAGACTTGTAATCTGGTGCCATTGTTGTAATCGTGTTTGAGGGTTGTGTTTCCTTCAGGTTGTAAGGATCAGGGTTAGAATTCTCACATAGGAAAGGTTACAAGATTACAGGGTCCCAAGTTTAGTATATCAATCTAGTTGTATTTGTAACGAATCTTGATCTCTAGTGCATTGAACCCCAAGTTTACTAGAGCTTAACGTAGATGTAGTTTATCCAATTTGGGTAAGTGAACCACGATAAAAATTCTTGTCTTCTTGTTTGATTTTGCAGTTTGATTTTTGATTAATTGTATGAGATTGGGTGTTTTGAGTTTGGGAATCTTGCGAAAAACTCAACACCTAAGGATTACAATACAAAGTAAATGCCATTAATGTCTTTCAAAATACAGTTTGAATTTGAAGCAGACTGCAAAGGGTTAACCTTATTTCAAGCAAGGGCTGCTCGGCCCCCTTGACATTAGATTAAAATGTTCAGATTTGTTTATGATTTGATAAATTAACAATACTGTTCAATGAATTGTGAGTGAAACTAACCTACACTCCTGTACTCAGGGCATGATTAACTTCTGATTTACTTCCTAG